CGGGGGCCGGACCTCTCTCGGGAGCTCGGAGGGATGCTCGCAAGGTCACCCGCCGTGTTTGCGTAGCGAGGAGGAGGAGAGGGCATCGCCCCCGTGTTTGCTCTCCTCTGATGCAAGGGATTTTTTGGCCTCTCCCCTTCTGCGCGGTGGTCTGCTGATAAACGGGGGGTCCGAGGGGGCTCGGAGCAGAGCCCTTTGTTCCCTGCTGGCACCTTGATGTTCTGCCCCTGGTACAGTAAGCCTTTATTTTGGAAATGCTGTCTATGTGGGCATGCCTCTCTCCATGGAAGGCTTGTCAGAATACCTTTTACAATTGATATTTAGTTGTCCCTTGTCTTGGAGCCGAGCTGCTTCAGCTGTTGCGGGTTTTCTTCTTTTATGTTATTGCTATGTTATCACACTTTGGTGCGGTAGGAAGAGATTGAGGGGGTCCTACTGCAGTGCATCTCACCATGTCAACAACCTGAGGAGTCAGTGCTATCTCTCACTTTTTGTGCCTTCTGCGAGTATCAGCTATATGCAGCTACCTTGGCAGCTGTTTGGTATTATTAGGCTAATTAACTCATCTTTTTCACAGTCAAGGTACAGAGTATTCTTTTAGGAAGGGGGAGTGCTTCTTAAAGAAAAGAAAAAAGGAGGCAATGATTTATAATTGTATCTCCTCGCTGTCTTCTGCAGAAGGTCGATGAGGATATGGGCTACTCAAAGTATATTGAGGCATTTGTGTTGCAAACAGGGTGGTAAGAAATGTTGGCCTTTGCTCCTTTCCCAATCTGTAATTTCTGATTTCTTAATAGATTTTTGGATCTGGATTAGAATTTGCCACATGAGACTAAAATATTTACAAACTGGCTGTTCTCTTCCTGCTTAATTTGCTGGGATCCCAAGCTGTCCTCTCCCTCGGATACTTCCAAGCCAAAGGAGCAAGCAGGCTCCATGTAATCCTCCCTTGAGGTAGCACAGGCCCTGTAAGCTCTTGTTAACATTTAGGTGTGCTCTTTCAGGGGTTTGCTTCGCGCTGTTTTCTCTGGAAAAGGCTCCATCTCCGTGCTAAGACTCTTGCCTTTTGAAAATGGCTTCTCCTTGCTGTTCTCTGAAAAACTCCGATTGTCTATTTCCTTGGTGTTCATCTGTTCTTGTTTGAACTTGGTCAGGTCTCGGTGACCTACCAAAAGTTGTTACACTGCAGTAATTCCTTAAGGCAGGTATTGAAGGCAAGACTTCTTTCTCTCTTTTCCATTCCCTCATTCCTGTGTTTTTTCTTGTTGCTGAGTCAAACCCGAAGGGGATTTCCTTCCAGAACTGACCACCTTGTTGGCAGACTCGAGGCATGGGATCTGCTTCTGGTTACCACCATCCTGAAGCCAAGCCTCTCTGAACTAGTACAGAAAAAGCATAGAATCCATGCAGCCTTTCTTCTTTTTTTTTTTCTTTTTTTTTTTTTTTTTTTTTTTGTAAAAAGCCTTAAAATACCTGAGGGTTTCTTTAAAATTTACTTAATCCTTCTTGTCCACTAAACTAGACCAAGCAAACAAGTCTGGTCAGTTTTTTCTTCCTTTTGACCTAGGCCAGTGCGGATCCCTGGTTCTGCTGCTGGGACTCCCGGTTTTTCAGGGGAATGCTGACACCGTATGTTTGTACTCCATCCCCACCCCCAAATAATTGGTGCATGTTGTAAACATTGGCTTGAGCACTGCGTGAGAGCATCCCCAAAGCCCATTTTAGGAAGATTGTTGAGCACGGTGTGTCTGTTTGAGCAAGGTGAGGGCAGCTGAAGACAGAGCGGCCTCTGACTAAGCTGCCAATTAAAAACTGGATATTCTGCTTCCCCCTGGAGAGGCGTGGAGGCTACTGGAAGTGTGCTTCCTCTTAAAATATCCGTGGGATTAGTTTTCTTTGGATGGGTTACAGAGCGCAGTGCTGACCTACCTGGGGTTTTTTTGTACCCAGACGAACATTGTTTGCAAATCTGTATAATGGGAGAGCTGAGTGTTGTGGTTTTGCATTCTGCTTTTGTGGGTTCTCTCCATTTCAGAGACTTCCTCAGGAGGGAAGTGAGGAGAATTACTTCAGTCTTTGGCAAGCAATTTTGGTTTTTATTAAGTAGGTACCTGATCCTGGCAGAGCTCATCTTCTCTCTGCGTGGGGATAAGCCATGCAAACTGTATCGGACAGGCTGTTGGCATGTGTGTGGGTTTTGTGACCTGTGTGCATTTCCTGCTCCCCCCCCCCCCCAATGAATTAAACTGTGATTTTTAGGCTTGTAGCTAGGCAGAGCCTCAACTGGGTATACTTAATAAGATGTGTGCCTGCCAGTCAAGGGGATAGTAAACACGGGCTGGCAGCTGGTGCCTCAGCACCCTCCCTCGCTCCTTCTCGTCCCTTCTGTGCTTGTGCCAGCAGGACGCGGCACCCGGCATGACCACCCGGCCTCCCGGAGGAGAGGCTGGCCCTGCCGTCCTGAGCGGGGAAGCAGGTCTCTGCCCAAGCTGCTGAGCGAGTCACGAGGCTGTTCAGGTGCTGTGCTTATGTTCTGGAGAAGCTGGTGCAGGTGAGCCGTGCCGGAAGCAGCGGAGTTGCCAGGGCGTAGAGAGGTGTGTTAGATGTGCTGAAGTAGCTCTGCTGGAGCAGACAGTTGGCCTGCTGGGTTTCAGCAGGGGTACTTGGCAGCGAGGTGAGTATAATGTATGTGCCTGTGTGCGGGTAGTAGCTACACCCTTATTTCTTCCGTAGAGGAGCAGGGAGACTCTTCCCCATCAGCATCTCTGTTTTGAGGGCCAGTAGATTTGGGGTGACTCTTGCTGGAGAGCATCACTGCTTGTTAGTGTTTGTGCAAACGGCTCATTCTGCTTTTGTGCTAATGAAAGAGCACAGCTGTTCATCTCAACAGGTGGAGAGTTGTTGTGTTCTCTCATCTTCACCCATCCTTTTCTCTCTTTCCTTAGGTCTCTTTGGAGCCAAATCTTGTCTATGTGCGTGTCATTTTGTCTCTTTTAATACGCTGCCCTGACTTGCTTGCTGCGAAGGGAGTATGCATCTGGAGATCAAAGTTGCTCTTAACTTCATCATCTCGTACCTGTACAACAAGCTTCCTCGGAGGCGGGCAGACCTGTTTGGTGAGGAGCTAGAGCGCCTGCTGAAGAAGAAATATGAGGGTCACTGGTACCCGGAGAAGCCTCTGAAGGGATCTGGCTATCGCTGTGTTCATATAGGGGAGACGGTGGATCCGGTGGTGGAGCTGGCGGCCAAGCGGAGCGGGCTGGCCGTGGAGGATGTGCGCGCCAACGTGCCGGAAGAGCTGAGTGTCTGGATCGATCCTTTTGAGGTTTCCTACCAGATCGGCGAGAAGGGCTCTGTTAAGGTTCTCTACCTGGATGATAGTGAGGGCTGCAGCGCCATGGAGCTGGACAAAGAAATCAAGAGCAGCTTCAACCCCGACGCCCAGGTATTTGTCCCCATCGGCAGCCAGGACAACTCGCTGTCCAACT